TCGTATAACAAAAGATTGATTTCGGAGATGGTGCATATAAAGAGACAACGACATGGAATCAATAGGCAAAATGATACCGAAACTTTGCCTGAAACATATCATAATATAATACAGTCGCTTTCTCCTTAGAGACTTTTCATGTTCCCCTTCCTACGAACAGTTTCGGGGGTCGCCGTTTGTCTCTGATCATTACATGTTAAGCCTTTGTTGTGAACACTTCGGCCGTTATATTATTCTTATATTCGTCCTGTATACTGGCATTGTTAACTCGCTCAAATATAATTTTAAAAGTTTAATTTAATTGAAGATGTTACTTAAAATAATGAATCTACAGTTTGTAATTACTCACAGGTAATGTTACGGTCTGAATAATCGGACAATTTATTACATATACAGTCATTTAATATATTTAATATGTTTATCATGTAATTTTTACGAATTATAGAATTGGTTTTGTTTTGTATTATTGAACTTGGATACATTTCAACATCTTCTCAAATTGGTCTAAAATAACCGTCTATTTATTACTATGAAGATTTTTATACAGATTTTATTATTGTATTGCGTACCTCAGTATATAATACTGGACTTTCATTTTTTGTCCGAAGCTGTAATGTTTGAATTTTTAACTTTTGACTATTTCAACGAAGATATATTGATGACAGTGGAATTTGTGTTTTTTAATCTTGTGAGTAATATATTTTTAATTTTTCTATTAATTATTAGATAATTTCATTGAATTTTTTGTAGCACTCTCTTAAGTGTTACAATTCTTTATAATTACAGTTTTAAGTAATTTTACATATATGAATTGTTATTTGTCTTTATGAATTTTAATTTTGATCAAGTAATTTATTGTTATTGACTTTAGTATTCGCGGTTTCTTTTATACACATTTATTTCCGAGGAATCAGACTTACAATGATACTACCCAGATTTCTTCAAGTGGCGATATTACAAAGAAAAACTTTATTCTGTACATTATATTAATTTATGTTATCATTGAAAATGACCCGATCGGGTTCGAAACGTTTGTTAATTTTGTCTGCTAAATTTGTATGTATTTTGTATTATTTTTAATATATATATGTGTTGTTAAAAAATTTTCTATACTTTGGCTCTTTGCCCTTTCTTTACTTGAATTTATTTACTATCGTAGAGCCTTATTACTATTTATATAGATATTTTAATGTAATTTATAAATAAAAATTATAGAAGTTTCCAGAAGGATAAAGATGAAAAATATATTAGTACAGAATTTCATAGTCTAAGTGATCTTTTAATTATTGACGATGTGGAAAATATAGATCCAGAAAATTCATTTATTCTTCCACCACATCATAGATGTACGAGTCATACATTGAATCTTATAGCAGTAAAAGATTCTGATAAAGCTTTAAACAATAATGCTATATATAAAAAGAAATATAGAATAATATTCGCTAAACTAATAAAACTTTGGAATAAGCAAAATCAGTCAACACAAGCAGCTGATAAAATAAAGGAAATTTGTGGTGTTTATTTAAAAACTCCTGTAATTACCAGGTAAGAAGATTTTTTTACTTCAAAAGATAGTGGGTGTATTCCGAACCGGATTAGCTTAGCTTATTTTTTTCTTTAGATGTTGGCAGTTCCGTAACCGAGCAATGTTCCAAATTCATTGGCCATCAAACTCAGCTACTGACTTCTATTGGTTATGAGTTATGACAGCCGACGAGTTCGGAACACTTCTCAGTTTAGTTACGCAACTGCCAACATCTAGGGGAAAAAATAAGCTAAGCTAACCCGGTTCGGAATATACCCAGTAAATAAGAGATCGATTTAGTTTTAAGACTGCCCTTATGGAAAAAGACATTGAAAATTTCAAAAAAAACACTGAAAATGTTATAGTTTACGTTACGTGCACTATATATTTTGAGTGTTAACACCTAATTTTCAGTATTTTTTTCGAAATTTTCAGTGTCTTTATCCATAAGGGTGGTGATTGGTGTAACGCTTTTATCAGTGTGTCGATTGGATAATAAACATTAGGCCTTTTTCATCAGCTCTGATTACAATTTTGAAACAAAAATTGATTGTGAATATTGGCCTTAGATTGAATAAGTTTTATATTTACTATCATCAAATATTAATCGTATTCGTTGAAACATTAATTTCTACTTCTCTTCGCGTTTTTATATTTATTATTAC